ATTACAGGCATGAGCCACTGGCACCCGGCTTCATGAGACTCTTATTTCCAATTAACCACCAGAAAACCAGCAGTAGTGCTATGGGTCAAAGTGGTAGAGTGCTAGCCTTGAGCAAAATAGCTCAGAGACAGCATTCAGGTCCTGAGTTCAAGCCCCAGGACTGGCTATAAAAAAAAGAAATTATTGTTTGCATTTTCAAGGAATTTTTACAAAATTAATACACATTTTCTTACAGTAGTTTTAGGTATACAAAACTGTTGAATGGAAGCAGGGCACCAGTGGCTCCTGCCTCTAATCCTAGCCACTCAAGAAGCTGAGATCTGAGGTTCGCAGTTTAAAGCCAGTCCAGGCAAGAAAGTCCATGAGACTCTTCTTCTTTTTTTTTTTTGGGGGGGGGGTCTGGTTGTCGTGGGGCCCGAACTCTGGGCCTGGGTGCTGTCCCTCAGCTCTTCAGCTAGTGCTCTACCACTTGAGCCACAGTGCCACTTCCGGCTTTTTTTTCCCTGCTTATGTGGTGCTGAGGAATCAAACCCAGGGCCTCAAGCATGCAAGGCAAGTGCTCTACCACTGAGCCACCTTCCCAGCCTGAGTCTCCTATATTCAATAACCCACTAGAAAACCGAAAGTGGTGCTAAGGCTGGGGCGCTAGCCTTGAGCTGAAGAGCTGAGGGACAGTGCCCACGCCCAAAGTTCAAGCCTCACAACTGACCAAAACAAAAACAAACAAAAAAACAACCCCAAACTGTTGAATGGAAAGAGCTCCATACATATCTTACCCTCCCCATGGCTTACCTCTTATACCCTAAACTAAGTGTGATGGTAGTATTTTCAAAGGAAAAATATACTAGTCCTGATTTTCATTCATTTATATGACAAGAATGTTATTTAGAAGACATTGGAGAAAATTTGGGGCAGATGAGTCTTAAAGTCCGTTTCAGAATCTCTGAGAAAATGGTAGTGGATTTTACTCTGGCAAAGCCTTCGAATTTCCTTCCTTCCTTCCTTCCTTCCTTCCTTCCTTCCTTCCTTCCTTCCTTCCTTCTTTCCTTCCTTCCTTCCTTCCTTCCTTCCCTCCTTCCTTCCTTCCCTCCTTCCCTCCCTCCTTCCCTCCTTCCTTCCCTCCTTCCTTCCTTCCTTCCTTCCTTCCTTCCTTCCTTCCTTCCTTCCTTCCTTCCCCCTTTTTTCCTTTAACTGTTATCTCCCCCCTCTCTCTTCCTTTCTCTCTTTTCCTCCCTCCCTTCCCACACACCTCTCTGTTTTCTTCCTGCAGGAGGCACTGAGAAAAATCTCCAGCCTTGGGAAGGACGGCTCAGTGGTAGAATGCTTGCCTTGCATGCATGAGGCCCTGGGTTCGAGTCCTCAGCACCACATAAGCAGGAAAAGCTGGAAGTGGCACTGTGGCTCAAGTGGTAGAGCGCTAGCCTTGAGCTGAGGGACAGCACCCAGGCCCAGAGTTCAGGCCCCACAACCGACAAAAAAAAAAAAAAAAAAAAAGAAAGAAAGAAAGAAAAAAGAAAAAGAAAAATCTCTAGCCCTAAACGATGTTTATAAATGATTTGTCAAATCACCAAGAGCATGTCATTTGTCTCATGGTATCCTATTTCAGTTAAATAATCCTATGAGTTTATTGCAGTTATCTGAAACACAAGAAAGCAAAAGGTTAGCACAAGGCAAACAGATTTGCTCATAGTCAGGCAACTAATTACACAAAGAAAACAAATTTCTATTGTCTACCCTCAAGACCTCTGTACTGGATAGCACAGCTCGGCAGAGTATGCTCAGATGGGTCTTGGCACTAGAACAGTGAAACTAGGTTCCTGGTGCTGCCTCATATGAGGAAGCTTAAGATCAAGGAAAGCTATTTCTGGTTTAGAAGTTCAGGAAATCAACCCGAAAACGAAAATGTGATTGCTTAAGAAGAGTTTGAAAAAAAATAATGGATAACTCCATAATAAATTACTAAGGAGCTGGGCATTGGTGGTTCATGTCCATAATCCTATCTATTCAGGGGGCTAGGATCTGAGGATCCTGGTTTGAAACCAGCAGTCAGTAATGTTCCTGAGACTCTTATATATCCAAATTAAGCATCAAAAAACCAGAAGTGGAGCTGTGGCTCAAGTGGTTGAGTGTCAGCCTTGAGCAAAACAGCCTAGTGAGAGTGTAAGGCCTTGAGTTCAAGCCCCAGTAGCTCCCCTCCCCCACAAAGAATATGGCAAGGATCTCCCTGTACAGCCCGGTGCAGAATTCTCAAAAACAGCCAATTCTAAAGGGCTCCTTTCAGACTTGAAGCTTATTTCTTGGGTGTGGAGGTGGGAATGTAATTCACATGACCAGTCCTTTGACCCAAGTGAGAGACTCTATGTAACTTATGCCACAATAACACTGATTTCAAATCTAGCCTGGCTTTTTTCTTTTTTTTTGTGGTGCTGGGATTGGAACTCAGAGCTTGTCACGTAGAGGTGAATTGGGGAGATCAGGTCTGGTTGGCACCATCTTGGCCATCTTGGTGAGTTGGAGTCTGGCATCTTCTTCATGGTGGGGGAAGGTAAAGCTCCCACCTCCCAGGTAGTAAGTGTACCTGAATCCCTGGAGGAAGGAGCAGGGACTTGGACTCAAGTTTCCCATGACCCTGCTTCCCCTCCCCGCCCAACCCTCACACTATTTAGGCCCAGACCAGCTCATGTGCCATTATGCCATGTCAAATGTCTCCTTGTTCGTGCCCTGTCTCCGGTCTCCTGTCTCTCTTCAACCTAGCGTCCCACTTCAGCTCTCCATTGGAACTGGTTCGTTGGTATTTTGTTTTTTGTTTCCTCTCCAGCCTTTATGGCTCAGTTTCCTAACAGCGTGAACTGTATTTGCTGGCTGCTGGTCTTTGAAACAGGAATCCACCACGCAGTCTTTTAAAAAAGACTTCTGATCCAGTCTTTCAAAATGTGGCTTCTCTATTTTCTCACCACACAACACAGGAAAGTTCTTCATCACTGAATTACAACTGCAGCCCTGGCTTCCAAAACTTTGGAAGTTTGTGAACCAAAAGGTGTGCTACATTGTCCAGCTTCTAGTCTATTTTTTTTTTTTTTTTTAATTCTCTACGTTGTGAAAAAGGGTCTTGTGGCCTCCTCAACGCCCCTTCTCCACCCCAGGTGATAGACATTTTTGGTGGGGGAGGTGCCTCCAGAAATCAGGCTTGCCTGGAATACTTTCAGAAATTCTCCCTTCCAATTTGTCTGGGCTACTTTATCTCCTTGGTCATCAGGGTCTAAGTTTTCTTTCTTGAAAATAAAGGGCTTTGATACAAATTTCCCAGGATGTGCTGTCATCAAGATTTTTTTTTTCTCTGGGTCCGGTCATGGGGCCTGAACTCTGGGCCTGGGTGCTATCCCTCAGCTCTTCAGCTCAAGGCTAGCGCTCTACTACTTGAGCCACAGCACCACTTCCGGCTTTTTTCTTTTTGCTTATTTGGTGCTGAGGAATCGAACCCAGGACCTCATGCATGCAATGCAAGCGCTCTACCACTGAGCCACCTTCCCAGTCCTGTCATCAAGGTTTATTTTCATGGGGCTGAGAAGGTGGCTCAGTGGTAGAGTGCTTGCCTTGCATGCATGAGGCCCTGGGCTCAATTCCTCAGCACCACATAAGCCGGAAGTGGCACTGTGGCTCAAGTGCTAGCCTTGAGCTGAAGAGCTGAGGGACAGCGCCCAGGCCCAGAGTTCAGGCCCCACAACCGGACCCAAAAAATAAAAATAAAAAAAGATTTATTTTCATTCCTTTCCTCTACCCCCCACTATCCCTTGACTAAAATCAAAGTCCCTATTGTCACTGTTCCAGCCTCCCCATTCTTAGGCTTCCCTGGAGTTCTCCAAAGGGAAAACAACCTCCTGTTCAGGAGGAACACAATAGCCTAGGTTTCTAAGGCTGCAGGGTATTACAGGTCTGAGTCATAAGCAAAGCTTGGGCACCTATGATCACCCCCAAACACAATCCTCTCTTATCAAGAACAAAGAAATGCCACTTGATCTAACCAGTGTGCTCATAGGTAAGCTCTCCTTCTGTGATCCTGACAGAGACTACAGAAGCAAAAAGCCCAACTCAACAGGTAGAAGAGCTTAACTGTAGCCCTCTTCCCATTCCCCCCCCCCCCCCACCTTTTGTCAGTCATCTGAAAGGTGTTAACCTGTCAAACAGATTGTTTGAGAGTAAAATCTAGAACACCAGAAAGGTGGTTACTGGCTTAGGGGATGGATGATGGCTGAGGATATCTCAGACCCCATTTTAGGCAGAACACTCAGCCCCCATTTTAGGCAGAACACTCAGCCCCACTCCAGGAATGTGGAGCTGATAAGGCATGAAAGGCTCCTCGGTCGAGTCCTTAGCTGGACAGAGAAGCAAAATGATTCTCCCAGAAGGCCATGACTGGGGAGTGGCAGGGCCACCTCAAGGCCAGGGCTCTTTTCACTATAGATGAACCAGGTCAGCCCAGTCCTCTGTATTTATTTCCCCCCTCCCAACTTGCCGGAACCTTGGTGCTTCCTCTGTTTGGAGGCAGCTGGTCCAACTGAAGCAGTTACTGCTTCAAACTCCATTAGTCCCCCGCCCCCCTCCAGTGACCTTCTGGGTATGTTTGTTTAGAATTGTAAACTCCTTGTCAGGACAGCTTAGAGCCAGCTGGTCCTGAGAATCCTTTTAGGCCTTTGATACTACAGGAAGGTGATCTGTCCAACCCCCAAATTCCTGTGGTTTGATGACAAGAATAATCAGGCTGTGAATAATCGGGCCTGTGAATAATCAGGCTGGCGCCAAGCCAGGAGTGACTGTTGTATCCACGGTGAACTTCCTCCCCCTCCTTCTAAGCGCAGGCCCGGCCCATGCCCCCTGGCTCCCTCCAGGCCCTGTCCACTGGGATCCTCCTGCTCCAGAGGCCCGCCTACCCCGTAACACTGGCCACACCCCTGGCCTGGAACCTTAAAGGAGGACCGAGCTGGTCAGGGAGTCTCAGCTGAGAGTCTGCAAGAGAAGCTTCTGGGAGGAGAGAAAAAGGCTAGGAGGAGAGAAGCAGGGTAAGTTGAATTTCTGTGCCTGTCTGGCCATCTCTGTCCTTTTAAAGTCTTTCAGGTAAGCTGAGCTGATGAAAGAATGCTTAGATGAAGAGACCAACTGTCCTATTTAGGCATAAAGACGACAGCTAGCTTCCATCCAGGGGGTAGCATTCTTTCTGTATCTGTACTGCTGGGGTGTGGTCTGGGCCAGTGGGATTTGGAAAGGCATAGTAGTGAGGGGAAAGGGAGAAAAAGAGATGTATTTCCTACAGAACTCTCTGCGGCAGAGGGAGGGGAAAGCGAAAAGAATTACCCAGAAATGCTCTCAATAGACAATGGGAGCATCCCATGACTAATGGCTGTAGATGTAAAGTCAGCTGCCTTTGGACGTATGGCCCCAGAGTTGGGAAGGTCCTGGCAGAAACTGTCTCCCTTCCCAGTCTTCCATGATCGCCACCAGTCAGTTTTATCCCCCAGCTTTTCTCCCCCCATTAAGTATCAATCAAGCATGTAGACCTTTTTAAAGACTTTATAATTGGGGAAATATGACATCTATGTCTTTCCTCTTAACTCACTGTGCGCAGGAGTGCAGGAAGCGTTTCAAGGCTTCGCATAGCATCTCACCATTATTATCCTTATTTTCTTACCCACTGGGATAGTGGGAGTGAAGGAAGGAAGGAAACCATGCTGAGCTTCCAAGTAACTGGAAAAAGTCAAGTGCAAAAAAAAGTGCAGTAGCAGTGGTTTACTTTGGTAATGGAAAAAGATTGTGTCTGCATGCATGTGTGTGCATTTGCATCCGGTGAGCAAATCTTACAAATACAACTGCAGGAGTTTTCTGCTAGGTGACTTGGCAATTCTTTTGTGTAGTCAGGAAGGCCAGCCTGGATCCAGACTTTCGTCTTGTCCAAAATCAGTTTCTCATGGTCAGCAGGAGTGTCCATTGCTACAATCTGTGAAGCAGAGTAAGGGAAGCTGTAAATATTGAATATAAGTAGCTCCATCTACCCATTAATTCTTATTTGGTTTTATTGTAAAAATACTGTACAAACGGGTTACAATTACATGAGCAAAGTAATGAGTACATTTCTTATTCAGCATTGTTGCCTCCTTCTTTGTTTTTCCCCTACCATCCCTTCCCTCCCACCTCCTCAGCTCCCCTCTCCCACACCTAAAATGGAAAGTTTTCAACCTAGCGTCTTATACAGCTCATTGTTGCAATGGGTCAATCTGTATCCCTATTTAAACAATTTGTTTTTTCCCTTCCCCTCCCCAAATTTTACCAACATCAATACAGTGAAAACAGGGGTTATACCTGTGGGGGAGGGACATACAAAGCAACAAAAAAAATCACATGGTACCTTATAAATGAATACATTTTTTTTAATTGTGAAAAAAACTGTACAGAGGGGTTACAATTACATGGGCAAGATAATGAGTACATTTCTTATCAAGCATTGTAGCCTCCTTTTTTCGACTTCCCATCCTCGCTCCCCCCCTTCCCCAACCAATCCTCCTTCCCCCCCACCAAAGTTGTAAAGTTCGTTTTCGACATAATGACTTGTACATCTCATTGTTGCAATGGGTCCACCTGTATCCCTATTTAAACGATTTGTTTTTTCCCTTCTCCACAAATTATACCGACATCAAATACAGTGAAAGCAGGGGTTATACCTTGGGGGAGATGAATACATTCTTTTATCGAGCATTATTGCCTCCTCCTTTGTTTTCCCCCTGCCATCCCTTTCTTCCCCACTTCCCCAAATACTCCTCTGCCCCACCCCCAACTGAAGTTGTAAAGTTCGTTTTCAACATAGTGTCTTGTGCATCTCATTGTTACAATGGGTCAACATTTGAGCATTTTGTTTTTTCCTTTCCCCTCTCCAAATTAGAAAAATCTTGTATATACATTTTACTCATCAATTCTTACACCTAAAATGTGAGCAGAGATGCCAGCCAAGTATCATGGAGAGCAATGCTGGCTGCCCTCTCTAGAAACCCCGCTTTATTTCATGTTTCCTAGCAGTGTCCCAGTGTCTGTGCTGCTGTATGCTGTTTGACCCAGACCTGGGCCATTTCTTCAGCCAGAGAGAAGCTGAGGATGCAGTGATCCTGCTAGTTAATAATCACGGGGAAAGATTCTGCTTTCTTTTTCCCCCAGGATCTGGCTGGCTGAGTACAGCCCAATAAATTTCACACATCCTTGTAACAGTCAGACCAGATCAACATTTGTGGTGTGACTTGAAGCAACTGTGACTGTCTAGGACTTCGTTGGGTGAATGAGTTGAAGGACCATAGCATATTCCAGAAACTTAATGACTGAGTCAGGTCTAGTTCTAATTTGCCAGCAGGGATGTTTTGCTACCATGGGGTTTTTATAGCAATTGACTAGGGATCCTGGATGGGTCAACAATTTTGGACTAGTGTGAGCTTTGGGACTTTCACTGCTGAAATACATGTTGGATGTTTTCAATCTGATAGCTGAGTGGGAAGGAGTGGCTCATAGGTAATGGTAGTAGATTTAGTTAGCTGCCCTTAAAATTCAAAATCAACATAGTTCTGAGATGTTGGTATCTGGTAGTGAGGAAATTTTGAGATTTTAGTTGAAGTTAGCTGTCATTTAATAACATTAGATTTCAGCCATCCCAGAGTAAAGTTTTATGTTCTTTGTGAGTGGTCATCAGATTTGTTTCGATAAAACAGGATAGATGGTTAGGGTCTGGCAAATTCTCTTTATTCTTTCAGCCTTTGACTTTGTACATACAGGGAGGAAAATGCATCAGGAAAAGCTAAATCCATAAACTCAGAATATCATACTAGTTTTAGGTTATAACCTAACCCTAATCTGCAGCTCAAAAGCTGGATTTCCTACCAAACCTGGCCAGAATGAGCATGATTTAGATTTATAGAAAATTGTAGAACTAGAAAGAGTCTTTGAGGTCATCACCTTCCTCAGGCCTAAAATAAGCAAGCCCCAAGGTCTTCTGCTACTGGCACTGTTGTCCACTTACACACTACAGGTAAAGCAGACTTCTGTAGGAGTAGGAACAGCTCAGAAGAGCTCTGTACTGCTTGTGAGTGCCCAGGAAATGCTGGCCAGCTTGTTTCCCTGTAGGACTTAGGTGTCTAGCAGCTGCCTGTGGCTGATTACACAGCCCATTGGCCGACTTCTGGAGGGTGGTCATTGGCCAGCAGGTCCAGCTGAAATGTACCTGCTGACTGTCAATGCTTGATGTATATATTAGGGACTCAAGATATTCATTTGGAAGTAGAGCTAGATCTCACTGTTAGATTCTGAAATAATCACTTGGACCTTACTGTAGACCTCTACATGGAATGCCTTTCTGCTTTATACAGTTAGAAATATTGCATTAACTTACAACTAGATTAAGAATTTCCAACCAAACTCCCCAGAAAACTCCCCCAACTCCTTCCACATCTTTAGAACTCTCCAGAATTCAAATTACTTCCCTAGACCCATGAAGGGAGAATCTGAAGAGTGTGGATGCTAACATTTTGCCCATTGAGTAGTTTGTCCTGAAGCTTGAGGGGATCTGGTTGCTGGCTGCCCCTACCTACAACTCAGACATGGACCCATCTTGGGGATAGGCTTTGTCAGGAACACCATCATTATTTGGTGCATTCTTATTTTTGTTCAATAGACAGCTTATATATTATGAATTCCACCGCTCAACCACTTTCTTCTCCACATCCCTCTCTAACACAGCACAGCTCCCATCACTCTTTGACTGTGACTAGTTATTTGTCTACTGTGGCACTGAAGTTTGAACTCAGGGCCTCAAACTTGCTAGCATTGGGAAGAAGCAGCCTGGGAGATTCTCAAGCTTCTTTTTAGAGGTCTTTAGTGAGGAGTCTGGTGTCAGCAAGGATTTCTGGAAGGCTGAGGGCAGAAGTAGGGATTCCAAACCCAGGAGCCCAGTCCCCACAATGTAAAAAAGAAAGACTGTTGGTGTCTCGGTCTCGTTTGGCTGGCCACACTGCATTATGCAGTGTGCTCAGAAAAGCAGCTCATTTTGTTCTGCTTTGTGTGTACCACATGGGCTGTAGTGAGAAAGGACAAGGTTTTGTGGCTGATGTTGTTGGCTTTTTCTCCAGTCCTTTCTCACAGAGCCCACTGGCTTCCAGACACAATGTGCTTCTCATTAAACAGGCCTCATCAACTATGATGCCTGACACAGTTGGAGTGAGACCTCAGCTGCTAATCCCAGTTTCCTCTCAGAGTTCACAGAGGCCCTGGCCTGAGTGGTATAAATTAGCTTGAAAGGCAAAGAAAGAAAGAGATTAAAAATCAGATTCAAGTCAGCACCACTCTAGATTCAGGAAATGACTCTTGTTCCTTCTGTCTTTGAGAATGGATGAAGGGCAAGAAGTTTTGTTTCACTTGTGGGGAATCTGGTCATGGATTGTCACAACTTGTGAACACAAGACTGGGTACTAATATTGGACAGAGCAAGAACCCCGGGAGCTTGGCACCCTCCAAGGCCGAGTTTCTTAAAAGCTGTTCCCTGCTGCCATCCATGATTTTGCTTCCTTTGGTGAAAGTTATTCACAGCTTTTTGTTTTTGTTGTTGTTGGCCATGGGGCTTGAACTCAGGGTCTAGGCACTGTTCTTGAGCTTTTTTTTTTGCTCAAGGCTAGCATTCTGCCACTTTTTTTTTTTTTGGTCGGTAGTGGGGTCTGAACTGTGGGCCTGGGTGCTGTCCCTCAGTTCTTCAGCTCAAGGCTAGCAATACCACTCAAGGCTAGCACTCTACCACTTGAGCCATAGCACCACTTCCGGCTTTTTCTGCTTATGTGGTACAGATGAATCGAACCCAGGGCCTCATGCATTCAAAGCAAGCACTACCACTGAGCTACCTTCCTAGCCCAGCACTCTGCCACTTTGAGCCACAGCTCTTCTTCTGAGTTAATTGGAGATAAGTCTCAAGAACTTTCCTGCCCAGGCTGGCTTTGAACTGCAATCTTCAGATCTCAGCCTCCTGAGTAACTAGGACTACAGGCGTGAGCCACTAGTGCCCAGTGTGTTCACAGCTTTGAGTGCAGCTCATACCTGCTATTTATCTGATGCCTCTAACCAACAGAACTATCTAGGAAGAGGGGTATGATTTACCCACTAGAAAATGCAGGAACACCAATACTCAGAGGCCAGGCGGTCCACCTCAGCAGTAGCTGGGGTTCTAAACTGAGAATCCTTGCATTGCAACAAGCTGCTCTCAGACATATCAAGGATATCACAAGCAAGGTAGCATGTATAGTTCAGTGGTAGTGCACATGCTTAGCATGCATAAGATTCTGGCTTTCCATCCCTAATACTGGTGGGGGGCGGGAGGGCAGAGAGAAGAAATGGAACAGTGTCAGGTTTCAGGTGTCAGCTAGGAGGACCCAGCATCCTGGTTGAGTACCAATGCTACCTCCTATACCATGTGCCACTATGATGCAGTTCCTTCTGCTTCTAGAGGTTCAACTTTTGCATCTTCAAAGATGAAATAATATTGACTTAAGTGATTTAATGTATGTAAATTAAGTGATTTGTAAACTCAATACCTGGAATTGAGTAGGCGGTTCCCTCGTATGTGTTGAATGGCATGAATCTACCCACATTTTCACATGTGAATTCAGATAAAGTATAAAAATACAATGAAAGCTTCTGATCACTATTTCCTGATCCAATCTGTGTTTCAATCTGGAGGCATCTATAATTAACCTGCACAGTACTTGCTTTAAGGAGTGGAGGGAACACAGGGGCCATTATCATAGCCTAACAAGATGTTCTTTCAAATTGATGATCCATGTCAGGGTTTGCTTATCTACTGCATTGGCTAAATTCACTTTGGTCAGTTGACCCTTGAATTTCTCTTCAGTAGGATCTGCATGCATTAAAGGTCTTTTCCTTTCCAGCCACTGCTAAGTACAGTGGCTGACTGCCATAACATTACCTATTAGGAGGTGACATTTAGGGGTATCTTTTTTTCAGCTCTGGAATAAAGCTTATGACATCTTAGGTCAACCAATGAAAGTTAGGTATGGTGACACATTGCCTGTCATCCAGGGTCACAGGTCAGACCATTGTTGAGTATAAACACAGACAGTATTTGTTTATTAAAAGTTTTTGAAGCTGGTCCTGGGGCTTGAGCTCAAGGCCTGGGCACTATCTCTGAGCTTTTGTGCTCAAGACTAGTGCTCTGCTACTCCAGCCACAGCTCCACTTCCAGCTTTTGGGGGATTAATTGGAGATAAAAGTCTCATGGACTTGATTGCTCAGACTGGCTTCAAAGCTCAATCCTCAAATCTTGGCCTCTTGAGTAGCTAGGTTTAAAGACATAAGTCACTAGCATGTGGCCACAAGACAGTATTTAAAAAATAGATGTGCTTAAATGATAGAATACCAGCCTACCCAGTGCAAAGCCCTGAGCTCAAAACCCTTGCATGGGGTCTGGGAAGGTGGCTCAGTGGTAGCGTGCTTGCTTTGCATGCATGCAAGAGGCCCTGGGTTTAATTCCTCAGCACCACATAAGCAGAAAAAGCTGGAAGAGGCATTGTGGCTCAAGTGGTAGAGCACTAGCCTTGAGCTGAAGAGCTGAGGGACAGCACCCAAACCCAGAGTTCAGACCCCATGACTGATAAAAAACAAAAACACCCTGCATCACAGAAAGACAGCAGAGACAGTAAGAGAGAGAAAGCTTTTTGTGTGTGTGTAACACAAGAAGAGGCAGTGATTACTGTTTTCCTAGATTCTAATCCATACTTTCTTACTTCTTTCAAAGACCCAGGTTAGCTGGTAGACCGTGGAGCTTAGAGGAGATGGAACAGGTACTCCAGTGGATTTTCCAGAGGTTAATTTCATGGAGCTTAGATGCAGATCATGTCTATATTTTGAAGATGCTTTAGAGAGAATGTTTCCTTTATGGTGCGTATCAGGACACCAGGAGAGAATTCTACTTTTTTCATTTCATTTCAATTGATTACCTTAGACTAAGAAACAGATTCTTCCTTTCTTGGTTATAGAGTTTTGTTCAAGAAGAGAAGGCTGGGTGTGGTGGTGCATATCTGCTGCCCCAGCACTTGGGAAGCATAAAGGTTATGAGTTCTAGGCCAGCCTAGGCTACATATCAAGAATTTAAAAAAAAGTAAAGGAAAAAAAGAAAGAAAAAAGAGCACTTGCCACCGAGTTAGGTCCTTAGATATGCAACAAATAAAAGGGGGTGGCAGGTGGCAGGGAGAGGGTGTAGGCATAGGGAAAGAAAGAAGGAGAAAATGGCCTATGGAAAATTACCATTTTTAAAGGTTAAGCAAGACTTCTGGATCTGGGGCTATAACTGACAGGCCTCAGGCTCCTGCCCTACATCTGACCCTGCTACAACAAAGATACTGACAGGGGAAACTTTCTGCCCTGTCCACTGCCTAGTTCCTTCTCCCAGAAACACATCTTTGGTGGTTCAAGAGGCTCTGGCCATTTCTTCTCTAACTTGGCTCAGTTCTGAGCTAGGATCATGGGGGAGGGGGACGGTGGGCAGGGGATGGGGTGGGCATTGGTACTCTTGGAGACTGACTGTCCTACTCAAATTTCCAGAGAAGTAATAAGATTCTTGCTTTAGCAATCCTTGCACATGGTGCAAAATTAGGTGAGAGTGTCAATTTACTTGTGTTTTCCTCTTGCAATCTCGGCCTCCTGTAGTTTGCTCTACAAACTACAGGTCCTCCAGCTCACCAACATCCAGGGCCATATGGTTTGCACCTAGAATCAGACTTCAATGGATGGGCTCTATTTGTCCAGTTCTTTTATCACAAATTGCTTTCCTGTATTTAAATATAAGCATTTCTACCTAGGGAGGAACCTCTCCATCACCACTGGGCTTCTTTTGTTTTCATAAGAACTGTAGCTCTGAGCTGAGCACTGTGTGGTTCATGCCTGTAATCTTAGATACCCAGGAGGGTGAAATATGAGAATTGTGGTTCAAAGCTAGCCCAGATAGAAAAGTCCTTGAGACTCTTTTCTCAATCAGCAAAAAGCCAGAAGTGGAATTGTGGCTCAGATAGTTAAATTTCACCCTTGATGAAAAAGCTAAGGGACAGCATCCAGGCTCTGAGTTCAAGCTCCAGTACCTGGAAAAACAAGAAAGAAAGAAATGGGGGAAAAATTAGCTAGGTTATCCTTGGTTTCGCCTCTTGGTTTTGCATGACTAGGAGCAGGTTTTGTGCCTCAGCTAATAGGTGCTTCTTGAAGGGATGGAGGGACAAAAATGACAACTTCATCTGGTCATTTTACCTCCTGTGCATGTGTTCAGCAGTTGCTTTCCTTAGTGCAGATTACTGTGAAGGGAGGATGGAGAAGGTAGGAGGGAGGCAGAGAGGGAAGGGTGATAAGGCTCAAGAACCGGTACCCTACCCTTCCCCAGGCCCTTCAGCCAGGCCTCCTGCTGCCGGTGCTTCTGTCCAGTCCACAATCATCTCATCTTCCCTGCATGCTAGAGGAGATGACCATGTGTCTGCTGTCCTCCCCTACTTTCTCCCTCCCTACCCCCTTCCTCTCCTTCCTTCATCCTCCCCCTCTCCTTTCTTCTGTCTTTCTTCCCTCTCTCCCTCCTTTATTTTCTTCCTTGTTCTTCCCTCCCCCTTTCCTGCTTCCTCCCTCCCTCCCTCCCTCCTTTCCTTCCTTCCTTCCTTCCTTCCTTCCTTCCTTCCTCCCTCCCTCCCTCCCTCCTTCCTTCCCTCCCTCCCTCCCCCCTCTCCCTCTCTCTCTCCCTCTCCCTCTCCCTCTCCCTCCCTCTCTCTCTCTCTCTCTCTCTCTCTCTCTCCCTTGTTCAGTTATTTGATAATCTCGGAAAACTATTACATAGCACCAAAAGAAGAAGATAGGCAAATAACAACAACAAAAACCATGTAAAACCCCTAAAGGGTTTCTCAGATTTAGTCCTTCAGTCCTACCTCCTACCCAGCCTCCCCACAACACATGTGAACCTGTTTCCCTGAAGTCCACAGAACTATAGTCTGGTCTGGCCAGGCCTGTGGGCCTTGAGTTCACATTTCTGGTGTTCATTTTGTTCATCATCCTGGCACTGCCCCAGACCTCCACACCCACTGCTCTAACAGCGGATACACTTTCCCCACTCTTCACTCTCCCATCTTGGGACTGAACTGTTTTCGAACTGGTTGGTGGGTGACTAATTTCTCTGTCATCCTCTTCCCCCATGTGGCCATCCAGAACTCTGTCTACCTCTGTGGAGACTGGTGGGAGCTATCATGTTGCTGATATGAAACTCATTTACACTGGACTCAGGGCCTAGCAAGAAGAAAGGCAGCTGGAAGACAGAAAACAAGGCTCTATTTCTTCCTACAGCCCACAACATGTGTTTCTGTCCCTTGTGCTTGATTGGGAAAGGGCAGAATGCAATGTACCAGTTGGTATCTTCTGCCCACCCTGTCTTTGAGGCTGCTCTTCCCCAAGCCTTGACTACTTCCAGTACTTCAGGACTAGGGCTGATCCTTGGGGAGGAGTAAATATTGTTCATATTTCACTTTGCCTTGTCCAATTTTTATAATTGGTTCTATTTAGAAAGACTTTGAGTACTTGAAATACAAATTTACTTGTCCATGTGTGCTGGCACACACCTGTGGTCCTGTGACTACAGGTAAGATCAGAAGCAGGTGGATACGTAGGGCAAAGGTCAGGTGACCATAAGATGAAAAGGCATGGTGGATTCATGGGCAGGATGAAGAAGAGAGCTTTCTTCTTCTCTGAGTGGTGTGTTTCTTCTTTCATGTAATTATATATTTCACCCCAACAGGCGCTGAGTTGAGCATGCAATCTGTCCATCTTACAGACAACAGAAGGTAGGACAAGCTGGCTGTGGTGGCTCAGGCCTGTTATCGTAGCTTCTTGGAAGGTGGGGATTGCAGGGTTGGAGTTTGAGGCCAGCCCAATCAGTCAATCAATCAATTTTATCTTGACCAGTGGTGGTATGGTGGTGTGGTGGTAAGGTGGTAAGTGCCTGCCGTCCCAGCCATAAATAGAAGCATGAATAGGATTGTAATACAGCCCAAGCATAAGTCAAGACCTGATCTTAAAAATAACCAACCCACTATGTAACTTGTGGGCAGAAATGCGAGGGGGAACAGGAAGAAAAATAGGGGGAAGTGGTGAAATTGCTCCAAATAAGAAAGGTACTCATTAATTGGCTTGTGAAATGGTAACTCCTGTGTACAATGCAATAATAATTAATAATAATAAATTATATTTTTAAAAAACCAACCCAAAAAGTAGTTGATGGAAAAGCTCAAGAGGTAAGAGTGTCTGCTTAATAAATGGAAGGCCTGAGTTCAAACTCTAGTACTTACTACTGCCCACTCCCCCCAAAATCCATTTAGAGAAACATCAAGATAGAAGAACAGGATCTGTTTTTAAAATTTTGTGTGAGTATTGATATAAAATTATGAAGGGAAATTTAAGCAGAATTTTGGGAAATTTTGAGGAAAAGGAAATTTAAAGAAAGATTTGAAAGAGAAATCCAGAGAATTTCCCCAAGAGCAGAAGATTCTACCCAGGCCCCTGTTTTCAGTGGCCACCACTGCTACTTCCTTTCTTCCTTGACTCCTTGGAGCCAGTGAGCCAGTGGCATAGCTTTCCCTTGAGTGAAGAAAGGCCCTCACAGTGCTCAGCCCTCCCTGCCTGGGGCCTGCCAGAGAAGTGCACTCAGAGTGTCCTGGAGAAAGTGTGCAGTCTTGTGCTCCATCCCTCCCTCTCTCCCCATTCTCATCTTCCTTTATGCCTCATACATACCCTGAAGGGAGCCTAAGATTTAAGAGATGGCTGATGATGCTTCCAAATGGACTCTTTCCAACAGAGCCACAACCACCCAGACAGATGGAATCCTGGCAGCCTCTGATCTCATGGGCTTTGGTTCCTGAGGATGGGGGAGGGATGGGAATCAGGGTTGTTGTGACTGAGAGAAATGAGTCAGGGAAGAAAGGTTTTGCTGTGATTCTGTGAAATCAGACCACAAAATAACACCGACCAACTAACCTACTTTCAGTCACCAAAGGAAAGATCAGGAGAAAGGCAAATGGAAACCTGGAATTTGAGGTCTGTGAAGATCTGAATATAGTGACTAAAAGCCAGATGCTGCCTCTGTTTGTGCAGATCTTCACTTTATTGGGCTTGTCATAGTCTAAAAAAGGAGAAGGTAGGGATTCTCTTGGATGGACAAGACCAAGGGGCCTGGAGCCAGCTGTGGGCCTTACAAGCAAGACAGCTGAGAAGTCAGGTGAGATGGGCTATGCTGTGATATACCAGCAGCCTACTCTGAAACACACAGCAGCCCTTACTGTGCTTCCAGTGATATTACCCCAGGATAGCAAAGCCCTTTCCTGGAAGCCAATGATTGGGACTGTGGTCCCTGGGCCACCAAGAAGTGCCAGAAATGGCCTTGTCCTTCTGTCCACAGAAGTTTCTAGGCAAAATAATCCTTCAGCAACCAAAACATCCACCAACAGATGAATGGATAAATAAAATATGGTGTATCTAGACAGTGGAATATTATGGAGCCTCAAAAAGGACAAGCAGAAACATGGCTGAACTTCAGGACATGAGGCAAATAGATATCATTTTTTTGGGTCAGTTGTGGGGTTTGAACTCTGGGCCTGGGTTCTGTCCTTTAGTTCTTCAGCTCAAGGCTAGCACCCTACCACTTGAGCCACAGCACCACTTCCAGCCTTTTCTTTTTATGTGGTGCTGAGGAATCAAACCCAGGGCCTCATACATGCAAGGCAAGCACTCTACCACTGAGCCACCTTCCCAGCCCGATACATTACAATTTAAAAAATCATCTTCTAGACAATTGTCCCAGGACTGATGGTAGAAAGATCCGAGTCTCAGGCTCTTAAACTTTTGCACTCTTTGACCTCCTATGTTAATGTCTTCCTCTCCTTTTAGGATTGAAAGACACTGAAGAAAGGATGAATCTGATAAGGAGAGAGCTCTTGTGTGCACTGCTGCTCTGTGGAGCGGTCCTCACCTTGTCTAGCCAGGTAGGTGTCACCATGTCCTTGAACCTTGCCCTGCCAGGCAGCTGTGCTTGCAGATATTCCTGGTATACCCAGGAGTCCATTCCCTTCCAAGTACCCTGGGATGGGAAAGATGTTCCACAATGGAGAGCATGACCATATGACATAAATATACTGTACACTATCCCATCTGAGTGAGACATTTGAGGTCTAAGTTCCAGCAGTGGAACCTAGGCATTTATTCAAACTGAGAACCCCCTGCTTCTGATTGCCTTCTTTGAAGCTATTTTAGAGAATATATTTGAGCCAAGGGCCAGTGGCTCATGCTTATAATCTTACCTATTCAGGAGACTGGGATCTGAGGATTACAGTTCAAAGCTAGCCCAGGGAAGGGAAGTCTATGAGACTATTATCTCTATTAATCACCAAAAAGCCAGAAGTGGAAGCTAATGCCAGTGGCTCACACCTATAATCTTCACTACCATCCCAGGAAGAAAGGTCCATGAAACACTTATCTCTAATTAACCACCAAAAAAGCCAGAAGTGGAGCTGTGGCTCACATGTCAGAGCACTAGCCTTGATCAAAAAAGCTCAGGGACAGTGCCCAGGCCTTGCATTCAAGCCCCAGGACCAGCACATACACAAAGCTAGAAGTAGAGATATGGCACAAAGGGTAGAGTGCCAGCCCTGAATGAAAAAACTAAGTTGAAGCTCTAGGACCAGCACCAAAAAACCCCCCAAAAGACCCAAAAATAAAAAACAAGAGCTAGAAATGTAGGTTGGTGGCAAATAACTTGCAGAGTATGTATAAAACACATGGCATGATTCCTGAGCACTGGAAAAAATTTTGAATAATCCATCAAGTATAGAAGACATGCAAGTACTATGTGTGAGCCATAGAAGCAGGTATGCTGATAGGAATGGAATCTACACACTCTTCAAACATTCCACATGGCAAAGGTCATATAAGGTCAAAGATGCTTCTGTAGCAAGGTTTTAGGGAGGAAAGAATTGGACTAGCTACTTAGAGGACACTGTCTAATATGGTAGCTAGCAACCAACACATGATTAGATAAACTTTAAATTAATTAAAATTAACTAAAATTGGAAAGTCAATTCATTGGTCACATTATCAACATTTCCATTGGCAACCCTATTGGATAGCATGGATAGGAACCAGTTCTGTTTCATGCATAAAGTTCTGCTAGTGAAGGGGAGAGGAAGGATTAGAAAAAGGTAGGATATGGACATTCCACCCAGGCCATTTCTTGAGAAGACATATACCTGAGCAGATAGCACCTGATTGACAGATTCTTAGGTGGTCTTTGTTCTGATTCTTCCTCCTGGTCTCTTTGCAGGAAATCCACTCCCGATCCAGAAGAGGTGCTAGATCCTTCAGAGGTAAGAAGATGGGGTGGATGGAAGCAGAAGGCAGGGTCACTCTAAGGTACTTTATACTGTCAGGAGGTTCATATACCCATTGCCTGCTTACTTTTTCAGGGGGATTCTTCCTACATACCAGCCAACCAATTAGCTGAACTCCCCAGACAGTATCTAAGAGGAACAATCAGGTTGTCTGGGGATCTATGTCTGTGGAACCCACCTGCTCAGTGGTCAAATACCCTTGTTATATGCCTGAGAAAATGTTGTATACATGGCCATGGCAGTGCAGGTCCTGTGGAGTCTTCCCCAGGCCATGATTTCTTAACTATCTCTGTTCTAGTACCTCCTGTTAGTAACTGGGATAACTAAGCTGGGCTATTTCATAGGCATGGTGTGCAAATTTTCTTTCCACAACTCCATGTTTAAATTTCTTTTTAGGAAGTAGAAGAACATTTCTATCAGGATTTCAAAAAGAATGAAAATAACAGCTGCCTTTTCTTGATTTGGATTTGAAGAATTCAGTTGAGGTCACAAGTTACCAAGCTGAGGCCCCATCTTTTCTCCCCCATGTCTTGGTTCCTTAGAGTTTGGAAGACTTTTCTTCCTTCTCCCCCTCCCCCCTACCCGCCTTTTTTTGGTCAGTTGTGGGGCTTGAACTCAGAGTCTGGGCACTATCCCTGAGCTCTTTTGCTTAAAGTTAGCACTCTACCACTTTGAGCCACAGGGTCACTTCTGGTTTTGCGGTGGCTCATTGGAGATAAGAGTCTCACAGACTTTCCCGCCCAGTCTGGCTTTGAACCATGATCCTCAGATCTCACCCTCCTGAGTAGCTAGGATTACAGGCGTGAGCCACCAGAGCCCAGCTCTACCCCCCCCCCCTACTTTTTTGGAGGGGGGTGATGCTAGAGGATGAACCCAGGACCTCAAGCCAGTGAGGTACACTAGGGAGGTACACTCCTGCCCTCTAGAAGACTTTTTAACATCCCTGTAATAAGTGAAAGTTTTCTTACAGTAATAGCCTCCCCCTGATGACTTTGTTGTTATATAGCATAGTGTTTCTTACAGCAATATCCTGGACTCAGCAGGCCCTCAAAACAATCAATGGTTGTTTTTTTTAATTTAATTTGTTGATGCTGGGGATGGAACCTAGGAATGGTATGTGCTAAGCAATTATTCTATGACAGGATCACATCTCCACTTCTTTAATCAAAAGTAAAGGTGCCAGGTGCTGGTGGCTCACATAATGTGAGCTACTTGGGAAATTGAAATTGGGAAGATCACAGTTCAAAGCCATCCAGGGCAAAAAAGTCTGGGAGACTGTATCTCAATGGAAGATTGAGTGTGGTGATGCTCATCTGTCATCTTAGTTATGTGAGCCAGTGGCTCACACCTGAAAGCCTATCTACTCAGGAGGCTGAGATATGATGATCACAGTTAAAGCCAGTCTGAGCAGGGAAGTCAGTAAGACTCTTATCTCCAATTAACCATCTGAAAACCGAAGTGGTGTGGCTTCAAGTAGTAGAGTGCTAGCCTTGAGCATAAAAGCTCAGGGACAGTGCCTAGGCCCTGAGTTCAAGTCCCAGGACTGACAAAAATAAAAAATGTGCACTATTTAATATTAGATATATATTAATAAATTCTTTCAAAACAAAGCACATCAAACTGGGAGCTGGTGGCTCATGCCTGTGATCCTAGCTACTCAGGAAGCTGAGATCTGAGGATTGTAGTTCAAAGCCAGCCCGGGCAGGAAAGTCTGTGGGATTCTTGTCTCAAATAAACCACTCAGAAAACCAGAAGTAGTACTGTGGTTCAAGTGGTAGAGCGCTACCACTGCAGCTCTTCAAGAGCTGAAGAGCTGAGGGACAGCACCCAGGCCCAGAGTTCAAGCCCCACAACTGACAAAAAAAAAAAAAAAAGGCACATCAGAGGAAAATCAATAAAGAGAGTCAGTCATTGGTGATATAATATTAGGTATTTTGACTGGATTATAGCTGCCCCTCAGTGTTGGCAGGTCCTGAAAACATCCTGTCAAAATCCCCACCATGGATGGACAGATTCCTCACCTAAGAGGGTACCGATGTCCTGGATACTTCCAGTCATATCTAGATTACCTATAATACCTAATATAATAAATGTTATAATACCTAATATACATGCAAATAATCATTCTATTGTATTACTTAGGAAATAATGACAAAGAAAAAGTTAACATGTTAATCAGTGAAGATACATTTCTAACTATATTGTTCACCCACATTTGCTAGAATCTGTGGATACAGAAGGTTCACTGTATATTGAAAGCAAGTGAGAGCCGGGCGCTGGTGGCTCACGCCTGTAATCCTAGCTACTCAGGAGGCTGAGATCTGAGGATCGCGGTTCAAAGCCAGCCCGGGCAGGAGAGACCGTGAGACTCCTATCTCCAATAAAACCACCAGAAAACCGGAAGTGGTGCAGTAGCTCAAGTGGTAGAGCGCTCGCCTTGAGCTGAAGAGCTGAGGGACAGCGCCCAGGCCCAGAGTTCAAGCCCCACGACCTTCAAAAGAAAAAAGAAAAAGAAAGAAAGCAAGTGAGAGACTATTCTCAGTAGGTCCAGCCTTTATTACTATTTTTGTTATATTCTGAAGCGGTCAACTTAGGGTGTCTTGTGTTACAGGGACCTGCAGAGATGAGAAAACACAGATGATTTACGAGCAGCGTGAGTCATGGCTCCGTCCCATGCTCAGGGGCAACCGGGTGGAATATTGCTGGTGCAACAGTGGCAGGTCACAGTGCCACTCAGTGCCTGTGAAAGGTAAGTATCCAGGCCAGGCAGGGTGGTACACACCTGTAATCTCAGTATTTGGGAGATGGGGACTTGAGTATCATGAGCTTAAGGCCAACCTGGGCTACATTAGTGAGATAGTGAGCCTTTGTCACAACCCTCTCCCCCTTCCCCCAAGAAAGTCTATTGACTTTTCCAAGGCCAGCACTCTATCATATAATCCAAAGCTCAATTTCTGGCTTTTTGCTGGTTAACTGGAGATAAGAGTCTCATAAAACTGTCTCCCTAGGCTGGCTTTGAACAGCGATGCTCAGATCTCAGCCTCCTGAGTATCTGAGAGTATAGGCATGGACCACTAGTGCTCAGCTTGTATTGACTTTTTGCTTATGCTTTATGCCTGGGTCTCAGCTCATGGCCTGATCTCATCTCCAGTGTGTATATACCTTCAGCAGATGGCAGGCATGGTGCCCTGTGAGCAAAAGTGAAGGAAGGTATTAGGTCAAAACAGGTGACTGTGTGGCGCTGGGCAAATGCTGTAAGCCTCTGTTTCCTCAAATGTACAATGGGGTGATACTTTGTGGCTAGCTGGGACATTCCTTTTGTGTATTACAAACCAGTTGTTTAACATCTTAGTTCACATTATTCTTGGAACTGCTTCCAAAGTAGCCAGGGGTTTCCTCATTTACGCTTGATAGGCTGCACCCAGCCAAGGTGTCTCAACGCGGGAACGTGCTGGCAGGCTCTGTATTCCTCAGACTTTGTGTGCCAGTGCCCCGAAGGCTTTGTTGGGAAGCGCTGTGAAATAGGTGAGTACAAAGGGGTGTCTGTAAGATAAGTTCTGATTGCACCCAGAAAGAAATGGGAGTGTATGGTGGAAGGAGTAGGGAATGGGGACTAAAAAGAGCCTAGGGACCCACAGCATTGGAGTCAGTGGGTGGCACCTGTCTTGGCATTGCCTGTGGGACATCTCTGGCCACCTAGCTCGCTGGGTCCAGCAGCTTCAGCAGCCAGTCTGACCCATTGGACTGAGAGTATGCGGAGCAAAGGGGTCTTGAATGTGAGTTGTCATTATGTCCTGCTGTTAATCAGATACCAGAGCCACATGCTACAAGGGCCAGGGCATCAACTACAGGGGCACATGGAGTACAGCAGAAAGTGGGACCGAGTGCATCAACTGGAACAGCAGTGCACTGGCACTGAAGCCCTATAGTGGGCGGAGGCCCGGAGCCATCAAGCTTGGCCTTGGGAATCACAACTACTGCAGGTGAGAGGCAATTATCCTCCAACATACAACTGGGACAAAGACAGTGTCAGATCATTACAGAGAAACAGAGCCAAGACCACACAGATAGGTGGCAGATGGGTGGGTAGATGGATGGTTGGGTAGATGGATGGGTGGCTTGATGGACAGATAGACAAATAGAAGACAGGTAGGCAGATGATAGGCAGTTAGGTAGCTAGATGGACAGACAGGTTAGAAGACAGAGGCTGATTTGGGGGGACAGACAGAGGCTGATTTTGGGAAGTACTGGTGAAGCTGAAATTCTAGGGCAGGCCAGAAATCTGAACAGTTGGGCAGGAGTTGGTATTGTAGTCTTGGGGCCAAATTTCTTGTTTTTGTTTTTATTTTTTATTTTTGGTCAGTCATAGGGCTTGAACTCAAGGCCTAGGCACTGTCTCTGAGCTCTTTTTGCTCAAGGCTAGCACTCTACCACTTTATGCCACAGTGCTACTTCCAATTTTCTGGTAGTTAAGCGGTGATGAGAGTCTCATAGACTTTCCTACCTGGGCAGGCTTCAAAACACAATCCTCAGATCTCAGCCTCCTGAGTAGCTAGGATTACAGGTGTGAGCCACCAGTGCCCAGCTATCTTGGTTTTTGCTTGTAAGGCCTAATTAATTGATTGAATGAAGTTCAGACTCATTAGCTAGGATAATAAATACTTAAAGTCAACTGACTGTATATTCTAACCACAGCTATAACACTCCTGCATAGTAGCACCTAAATTAATGTTTGATGACATACCTGATGACTGTAGCCTGGTCATGTGAACTCAAAAACTAACTAGTATTGTCCACTGCTGTTAACTTGGCAGCCATGTACATTTCCTTCAACTATACTTAACTTCCAAATACAGAGAATTAAGTGAGTCATACTTCTGCATAACATGATGCAAATGTCCAGTGTTCAATCCACAAGGCACTAACCCAGTCCCAGAGGAGAAGACAGTCTTGGATCTAAAGTAGAACTATTCTTTTTAACTCTCCCTGGTCTTCTCTGGTTGATTTTTCAGAAACCCAGACCGAGACTCAAAACCCTGGTGTTATGTCTTTAAGGCGGGGAAGTATATTGCAGAGTTCTGCAGCACACCAGCCTGTTCCAGGGGTAAGTGACAGCCACAGCCAGCCTATCTTCCCCTGTAGTGTCCCTAGGGAAGAAGCGCCTGGGAGGACAAGGCAACAATCTTTCTTCATCTGAGAGGAGGAGCAGGCTGGGGGTGAGTTATCACTTCCTTAGAGAGAGCAGAGGGAAGAATTGAGGAGACGTAGGTTCTCCCCCCAGCCTGGTCAGCCTCCTCATCTACAAGGCTAAGAATGGGACCGAATCAGTGCTTTTCAGTTCTTGAGAGTGAATGGGGTTTCTTCCCTTGTGGATTAATGGTGTCTCTTTCTTCCTCCATCTCTCAAAACTTGTAATGTGAAATAATTTCCTGTGTTGAAAGAAAAATACAGGTTTCAAAAGAGCAATCAGTGATTGCCTCACAAATAATTATATTATCGATCCATAGCATGAAACATTTTAAGTTCTAAACACATACCACTCACACACACACACACACACACACACACACACACACACTCACACACTCACACACTCCTCTGCAGGTCTCTGGGTAATGCTGATATACCTGTAAGGACAGACATAATAATTCTAATGGGTTCTCCACATCTCTAGACCTAGTCTAAATTAAGAGTAACAGATCTCATCCTCCAGATCTCTCCTATGTCATTTTGGCAGAGGTGGACTTTTTCAGCTTCATGTGGGGAGAAAAGAAGGGGAGGTAGGTGGCACACCACAGGAAACTCCTAATTGCTTTCAAAGCAGCTTCACAAACCATTGCTACCAGTCTTACATGGAATCTATTCCTGTGGAACTTGAGGATCTCTGGGAGCTGTTCACAAAGCAGTCAGGCTGCCATAGCTAGTAGAAGCTGGCACCGGAGATGAAATCTATTAGTCAGCCTTGCATCACATCTGAGATAAGCAACTGTTCCCAAGGATTTATTTTGGCCCACAGTCTTAGGAGTTTCAATCCAGGATCACTTGACCCCATTGCTTTGGGCCTGTGGTGGCATGTCATAGTGAAAGAGTGGCAGGGAATTAACTGGCCACCTCATTACCAGGAAGTAAAAGACAGAGAAGGGAAGAGGCCAGAGCTTCCCTGACTCCTCAGAGCCACACCTCCATGACCTATGACCTCTGACTCAGAAGTTTCTACCTCTTAAAGCTTCTACCACCCCCAGCAATGCACAGATGACTTCCCTGACCCCCAGAGCCACACCCCCATGACCTATGACCTATGACTCAAAAGTTTCTACCTCTTAAAGCTTCTACCACCCCTAGCAGTGCACAGATGGAACCCAGCCTCTGACACATGGGCTCTGGGGGACATTTCTAATCTAAAATATAACAAAATCCACTTACTGTCTCCATGTATGAAGAAAGAAAAAAAGGGGGACCCTGCAAGCAACACACCCCCTTTCATGTTCAACTGACTTCCACTTCCCTCACCAGCAGATCTATTTCTTCTACTTTGCCCACTTTGCCACATAATTGGCTTTGCTTTTTTGTTCCAGAAGTAAGTGAGCACTGTTACACTGGAAAAGGGTTAACCTACCGTGGCACCCACAGCCATACCACGTCTGGGGCCTCTTGCCTCCCATGGAATTCCATGATCTTGATAGGCAGGAGTTACACAGCATGGAAGAGCAACTCACAGGCCCTGGATCTGGGCAAACATAACTACTGCCGGTATGTAGCCCAGGGTCTGAGGGAGTCAGGGCTTGGCAGAGAGAAGAACTGGGTATGGAAGGGGAGAAGACTGAATGTTGAATGTTACATGATCAGTCTCACACATGGGAAGGAACCATGGGTATTATCTAGTCCAATCTAGTCACTTGCTACAATAGTCTTGAAAAGCAAAGTACACCTGTTGGGGAACCAAAATCTCAAATTTGAGACCTGTGTCCTACAACTAATTCATCTTTCTCTATTCTGTTCACACACAACATTCTATTAGGATGCATGCAGAAAGTTCTTCACAGAACAGCCCCAGTTCCTCTCAGCATTCTTGAGGGATTACTGAATTACTAATAGAAAAACAGATATAAAGGGAAGTCTACTTCCCCATGTGGGGAGCTTGCTAGAGTCAAGCTGAGTTTGAGACCTCCATCTCTCCATCCCTCCTTCTTTCCCTTCCTCTCTCCCTCCCAGCTCAATGACACTACTGTAGGTTTAGCCCAACCCCTTCTCACTTCCTCCATGGCATGTACTGTGATTGGCAGTGTGACAGAAAACTTCAAACTTTATATAGGAATCCAGATGGAGATGTGAAGCCCTGGTGCTATGTGCTGAAGGATCGGAAGCTGACATGGGAATACTGCGACCTGCCCCAGTGCTGTGAGTGCTGGCCCCTGCCCTTCTGTGTTGTACTATCTGCTTCCAACTGTCACTACCAGGTACCCAAGGAGGCTAGGCCTTGGTGGGGAGGGGGATTACATTCCATGACAGAAGCAATAGGGCAAGTTGGCACTCTTGGTCAGCTGTGTGGAGCTGATGAGGAGAATCAAAAAGAAAGACAAAGCTGGGTGCCAGTGGCTCAGGAGGCTGAGATCCGAGGATTGTGGTTTGAAGGCAGCCATGACAGGAATGTCTGTGAGACTCTTCAATTAGCCACAAAAAGCTGGAAGTGGAGCTGTGGCTCAAGTAGTAAAGCACTAGTCTTCAGTATAAAAGCTTAGGGACAGCACCCAGGCCCAGAGTTCAAGCCCCAGAAACAGCACACAGACACACACACACACACACACACACACACCACACACACACACAGACAGACAGACAACAGTGAAGCAGTTTCTGTTATATTCAGTGGACTCTCAAATGTCCTGTCTTGATGCCAGTGTAGCCATGGCAACAAGAGGAGGAGGAGGTGGGGGAGGAGGTGGAAGAGATCTCTCATATATGGTTCCTTGGACAACAAAGTGCCTTTGCTGCATTTTCCCAGTAACACAACATATCGTGGTGAGGGGAGGCTTCCTGCTTCCATTCATCAGCTCTCATGTTCCTGCCAGGCTCTGGGCTCTGAGGGATGAAGCTGGGCCTCTGACACTAAGGCTTGTACTTCTGTAAACTCTTCCACATTCCCCCTGGCACCCATTTAACACAGAGGAACTGGGTTAAAAATACAGGATAGGAAACTAAGGGAAAATTTGAGTTGGCATGTGTTCTCAGAAAGTCAAAGTTTAATTTGGAAATTACCTGAGAATAGATTATCACTTAATTCCTATGAACACACAGATAAGCCAGAATGTTCCTCAAGGAATAGAATCTAACTGGAAAGTAAGACAAACTACCAGTTGACTCCCAACCACAGTCGTGTACCATGGGTCTGGAGACAGTTTAGGACAGGGAGCTAAGGAAAGCCTTGTGAGTAAGTGGGGTTTCACCTGGCCCTAAAGGTCAGTTGAGGCTCAATAGTTGGAAGAGAACTGAAAGACCCTTCCCTCCCTTCTTTCCTTCCTTCCTTCCTTTCTTTCTTCCTTCCTTTTCTTCCTTCCTTTTCTTCTTTCCTCTCCTTTCCTTTTCTTTCTGTGCCATCACAGGGCTTGAACTCAAGAGCCTGGGCACTGCCCTTAGCTTTTTCGCTCAAAGTTGGTTCTCTACCACTTGAGCTGCAGCTCCACTTCCTGCTTTGTGGTGGCTAATTAGAGATAAGAGTATTAAACTTTCTTGCCTAAGCTGTCTTTGAACCACAATCATCAGATCTCAACCTCCTAAGTAGCTAGGGTTACAGGTATGAGCCTGTGCCCAGCTTTATTTCATTATTTCTTGGGCCAGGAAATGGGGGCAGGAAAATTAGAAGGGATGAAGCACAACAAAAAGATCCCTAGATTGTGAATCAAATAGACCTGGGTTCTAATCCATTTGCCACAGTGACCTTGAACAAAATGTCTCCATCTCTCTGCAATTTAGTGGGGGATAAAGATAAGGTATGCACTAACATACCTTATTTAACATAGCTCAATATTCTCATGCAAGCTGTGGTTTTGAGACCATTGGAGGCTGTTCTATTGCTCTGTATCAACCTGTGGAAAGACAATGACCTGTCAAAACTTGGGTTTGCAGGAGAAACAAACTCAGCAGGGCAAGTCTGAGTTCCCTTCTCCATTTTCCTTTCCTTTGCAGCCACCTGTGGCCTGAGACAGTACAAGCAGCCTCAGTTCCGCATTGCAGGAGGGCTTTTCACTGACATTTCCTCACACCCATGGCAGGCTGCTATCTTTGTCAAGAACAAGAGGTCCCCAGGAGAGCGGTTCCTGTGTGGGGGTGTGCTGATCAACTCCTGCTGGGTCCTGTCTGCTGCCCACTGCTTTCTGGAGAGGTAGAGGCTTGAAACTAGATGAGTTCCCTTACCCCATTAGAGTAAATCATAACGAAAAGCACTGAAAAGCTTTTCCTCTGCCCTTAGCTTTCCTTATGAGCACCTTACAGTGGTCTTGGGCAGAACATATCGGCTGGTGCCTGGAGAGGAAGAGCAGAACTTTGAAGTAGAAAAATACATTGTCCATAAAAAGTTTGATGATGACACTTATGACAATGACATTGGTAAGAAGTCATTATTCCCTGTTTTCGTTCATGCTCCAGAGCACACATGTGCACTGTTGTCTACACACAGCCCTCCTTCCAAGCTCGATGCCTCTGCTTCCTTTCATATGGCTCGTACTGTCTCCTCTTCTCCCTCACAGCGCTACTGCAGCTGAAGGCCAATTCTGGGCAGTGTGCCCAGGAGAGCAGCTCCGTCCGCCCCATCTGTCTCCCGGACCCCAACCTACAGCTGCCCGACTGGACAGAATGTGAGCTGTCTGGCTATGGCAAGCACGAGGAGTGTAAGTGGAAAGGAGTTTGGTCACATCCTGTTGAGTGCAGGATAGCAGGGGCTGTGGCAGCTGAGCAGCTGGAGGGAAAAGGTGCCCATGCTGAGCAGAAGTGGGTGAGGCCCATCTCTCCTCAGTAGAGCCCAGTTTCATCCCCTTGCCTGGCTGGGCAGGGCAGTGCTAAGAGCCTGGGTCCAGGGAAGATCAGAGACGAGGGCTGTGCATTCTCGCAGACTGGAGTTTTTGAACTGAATTCAAATCTCAGTTCTGCATCTGCCTTAGGTGTGAGCCTTTGGGGGCTACTTTTTTCTATAATGTTAACAAATGCCTGACATAAACCAACTTACAAAGGGTTTTGTCATCCAGTTTCAGCCTATGGTCAGTTAGCATATTGTTTCTGGACCTGTGGCATGTTTTTCTACACCATCACTATACCAGAGATAGTTACTCACTTCATGGTGACCCCAAAACAGAGATAGGAAAAGGAAGAGCAAAAGATCCTAGCTTCCTCTCCAAGACACACCTCCAATGACCTCCCTTCCCACATGGTTCCATCTACAAAGGATCTGTTACCTCCCCAAAACACCAGTGGCCGATAGTCACATCTTCACATAGCTCTTAGGAAACATTCAACACTCAAACTATAGCACAAGATATGGAGGTTTTAAAAAATTATGTATATTTTTTTTCTCTTTTCTTTTTGAAGGGATCTCACAATGTTCCCTAGGCTAGCCTCAAACTTGATCTTCTTTCCTCAGCCTCCTGAGTAGCTGAGACTAAGGTTGTGAGCCACTGTGCCTGCTTGGACATGGATCTTTTTATTTGAAACAGTTCTTGTTTTTGTTTTGTTTTGTTTGTTTTTGGGGTCCGGTCGTGGGGCCTGAACTCTGGGCCTGGGCGCTGTCCCTCAGCTCTTCAGCTCAAGGCCAGCACTCTACCACTTGAGCCACAGCGCCACTTCTGGCTTTTTTGTTTTTGCTTATGTGGTGTTGAGGAATCGAACTCAGGGCCTTAGGCATGCAAGGTAAGCGCTCTACCACTGAGCCACCTTCCCAGCCCTATTTGAAACAGTTCTAAGTCTCAGATTACTCACTGCAAAATTTAAGCTGGAACTAGATCCCCAATTAAATGATAAAAATTAAATGGGATATTTCACTAAACTAGTGAATGGTGTGATTTTGTCCAGGAGACATTTGGCAATGTCTAGAACATGGGATGGTACCTCTCTGGCTGAAAAATTGACACTGGCAGTTAGTGAGCAAGGGCCAGGGCTGTTAGACATTTGTTGCACACAACTAAGAACTATCTGGCACAAACTGTTAATTAGTATTGTCATTGAAAAACCCTGGGGTGAACCTTAGAAAATTGCTGATTTTGCTTGGCGCCAGCAGCTCATGCCTATAATCCTAGCTACTCAGGAAGCTGAGATCTGAGGATCGTAGTTCAAAGCCAGCCTGGGCAGGAAGTTCGTGAGACTGTTATATCTCCAATAAGCCACCAGAAAACTGGAAGTGGCACTGTGGCTCAAGTGGTGGAGCGCTCGCCTTGAGCTGAAGAGCTGAGGGACAGCACCCAGGCCCAGAGTTCAAGCCCCATGACCCCCTCCCCCCGCAAAAAAAAAAAAAAAGAAAACTGCTGTATTTTACGTCAAAAAAAAATATTGGCAGTGGCACAGAAGTCAACCTAATAAGTGTAAATACTTGTTATTGGAATATTTGCCTTCTCTTTCCAAAACATGGACAGATAACTTTCCCTAAAATAACAAGACATGTTCTCTCTTTCAGCTTCTCCTTTCTACTCTGAGCGTCTGAAGGAAGCCCATGTCAGACTGTACCCATCCAGCCGCTGTACATCACAGCATTTGTTCAATAGAACTGTCACAGGAAACATGTTGTGTGCGGGTGACACTCGAAGTGGAGGAAATCAGGCAGTGCTGCACGATGCCTGCCAGGTACACACAGGCCTCTTCCTGGGGATATGAATGTTCATTGGTCAACAGGTTCTGAACCAAGGAAAAGCATTAAAGCCAGAATGGAGTGGTTTCATCTTAGTTGAGGCCCTGATGATTCTAGATGCAGCCTTAGAAAAGAAACCAATTGGAGAAAAACTACCTAAACAAGATATTTGAACTGCAGGAAATTTCCCTAATGTCTGTACAGGAAACTCCACCTGCTACAGGATTTCCTGCAAACCCAGGCGATACAGTAGTTATTGAGATGATGGGAAGAACAAAGTAAGAAGTTCTTGACTTCTGTAGGTGTTAGAGAATTGGGAGTTTGCTTTGTAGAAGGACAAGGAAGACTGGCAACTCGTGGGGGAACAGGATATGGGCACACTGTGAGAAATGAGTTTTAAAAGCTGGTGTTCAAGCAAGCAGGTGCTGGTGGCTCACTATCTAGAAAAAGAAATTTAGTAGCAGGTTGTGGCAGAGAAGAAAAACTGCCAGGCACCTGTGGCTCACACCTGTAATCCTAGCTACTTAGGTGGCTGAGATCTGCCACAACCTGGCAGGAAAGGCTGTGAGACCCTTATTTCCAATTAACCACCAAAAAGTCAGAAATGGAGTTGTGGTTCAAGTGGTAGAGTACCATCCTGAAGCAAAAGAGCTAAGGGATATTGCCCAGACCCTTAGCTCAAGCCTTAGCACTGGCATACACACACAAAGCAGATGTTCATCGCTAACATCCTGGGAAGCAGAACAATGTAGGTTCTCTGTGAGTGGATCCTGTTTAGAGTGAGTACTATTTCATGATTAAGATGACCTTGGAGCATGGTTCCTTAGCATTATTTGCTCTCTTTTCATATGTGTTCTTTCTAGAAACCTCAACTGTACCACTTAATCACAGTCAAGACAAGCTAGCACACAAAGTGAAACCTTGTTTCACCCAAGGGCTTAAAGTTAAAAACAAAAAATTATTTTGATTCAACACAATAACAGCGAAAAATTACCAAGAGTTTACAAGCTTTTCATACATCTTCCCACTTACTTTTCATAACAACCTCAGGAGATAGATAATATTATCTCTTAATTTATAATTAAGGAAAACAAAGCACCTGAGGCCCCATAGCTAGTGGTAAAGTTAAAACCAGGATGGATTTTTATGGGCAGTCTTGGGGTTTTAATTCAGGGTTTTCCACTTGCTAGGCCGGTGCTCTACTACTCAAGCCACACCTCCAGCCTTTTATGTTTTCGTTTTAGGATCATGTACTTTTGCCTCAGACCAAAATCCTCCCATCAATGCCTCCTGCATAGTAGGGATCACAAGCACCTACCAGCATGCCCAACTTTATTAAGACGAAATCTCACTAATATTTCAAGCACCATCCTCTCAATTTCCATCTCCCAAGTAGGTTAAATTATAGGTGGGAGCCACCAAGCCAAGTTGTGTTTTTACAGTTTATTAATCCCTTCATGAAAAATTCGTCATCACCACAGGTTAAGTCATTAAAGGCTCTTTATTCCTTTGGCTGTTATCCAATCTCCAGTTCACATTTTGCCAGATCCAACATAGTCTTGCAGTCCCTCTGACTTGCTTCATTCTGTTTATGTGTTTCTTTTGCTGTTCCCTCGAGGTCTTTTTCTTTTCATACAGGCTGTGTCTTGCAAGTCTGTTGTTTGGTCTCATTTTTCTTTGCATAATCCAAGGAATCATAAATCATGCCAAAGCCAGTTGTCTTGCCACCATCCAAATACAAAGATGACATCAGGTGTGGTCTTGTACATTTTAACAAATTTTCCCCAAATTTCTGTCTGTTGCCTTTCCAGGATGAGGGCCATCAATGACCATCTGCTTCCTCTGAAGTAATTGGTTAGTCATGAACTTCCTGATCCGGATGGTTACTGTGTCATTCATGATGGTGGCAGGCTGTCAGTCAGGGAGGAAAAGAGTATTTGTTTTGTTTTGACACACGGTTTCATTACATAGCTAGGCTAACCTCATACTTGGCATCCGCCTTGCCAGACTACTTTGAAGAATACCATTTTATCACTACAAATAGTAATCTTCATTTCTCCCCCAAATATTCTGCCCTGTTTACAAATGACATATTCTGTGTTTTGCAGGGTGATTCAGGAGGCCCCCTGGTATGTGAGAAGGATAAGCGCATGACCTTGGTCGGCATCATCAGCTGGGGCCTTGGCTGTGGGCAGAAGGACATCCCAGGGATATACACCAAGGTCACTCATTACCTTGACTGGATTCAAGACAATATTGAGCCATGACATAGAAAACCTAGTTTCTTGGAACCCAAGGAGATCTTGCCATCCCCCTCTTCAGGAGACCCTGTGCAAGGATCAAGTGCTTCTTCTCCAAGCCAGTTTTCCCAGAAATCACCACACAGTAGCAGGAGAGGAGCCGTAAGAAAGGACAGAGTATATATCTTTCATAGGTACTTTACATTTTGGAAGCTTTCAGAATATATTCTGTTAGATGAGAAGACATCAATAAATGCCCACCCCTCTCAGAATCCCATTGTATACAGCAGAATGTAACTAAGGCTTACTCTTTTATTTGGTTGTAAAAAGCTTTGGAAATTGGATCCCAAAAATTAAAACACTCTCAATGGTAAAAATACTAGATAGTTCTGGAAGGAAAGGCTGTAATAAAATGTATGTTTATAGTCACAAGAGAGATGGACAGAGCTCCAAATAAGAGATGAACTGGCTGGCCAGTTCATGTTCCCAAACCAAGCATCCTTGATCAAATATTCTTCCAGCTTTCCACTCTACCACTCAGGTGGTAATCTTTGGGTGTACAGTGTAAATCTTTTTTCTTCATAAACTTTATAGTTGAGTAGGAGTATTTTAAATTGATAAAATAGACTCTATATAGGTCCATTTTATTTTTTACTTTCTGCTACCACAATGTTGTATTATACTGTATTTAAATAAATTCAGATGTATTTTTCACATTTTTCTCAAATTGGAGTAGAATGGTTTTGTTCCATATGCAAGAGTTCCACAGCTGACTTTTTATGTCGCTCACATTCACATTTAAAATGCTTTTTTTCTTCTCCAGCATGCAGGGAATATCTTTAACACACAGAGAAACTTGAGGTTTTCACAGACTGAGACTAGATTGTGTTCAGGTGTAGAAAAAGCAGAACTGAGATCAAGAATTTCACTACTTGCAACTACAAAGACTTGGGAGACATGGAGTGCAGGGAGAAAAGTGACCTTCATAAACTGGAGACTCTAACTTAAATTGTGGGGCTCTGAATACGGAACAATTTATACTTAATTCTGTAGGCAACAGGGAGCCATTGTGTTTTTTTTTGGGGGGGGGGTGTGGGGAGAGGGGAGGTAAATGATGGACTAAAGGTGCTTAGCAAAAGCAACCGCTTGGTGGCGAGAGAGAACAGAAGTCACGGGACACAAAGTGAAAAGGAGTCCTCGCACAGCAACATCTCATTTGTAGGTCTGCACTGGAGCCATTGTTTGCCATTTGTGTTTCTTTTTTTTTTTCTTTGGGTCTGGTCGTGGGGCCTGAACTCTGGGCCTGGGCGCTGTCCCTCAGCTCTCCAGCTCAAGGCTAGCGCTCTACCACTTGAGCCACAGCACCACTTCCGGCTTTTTTATTCCTTTTTGCTTATGTGGTGCTGAGGAATTGAACCCAGGGCCTCATGCATGCAAGGCAAGCACTCTACCACTGAGCCACCGTCCCAGCCCTGCCATTTGTGTTTCTACATCAAAATTAACTGCTAGTCTTCATATGTAGTTACTTAAGTCCTGCTGCTCTTTTTCTCATACAATTTTCCTCAGCTTTTATCACTGATGCCCTTGTTAAAAGAATAAATCTAATAATGCCATGTGTGTGCCTGGGTGTCTGTTGACATTCTTAGGTAAAAGGCCTTTATCTCTTGAGGAACTGACAAAACTTCATCAGTTCTTGGACAAGAAGTTGTATGAGAGGAAGTGGCGCTGTAGCTCAAGTGGTAGAGCGCTCACCTTGAACTGAAGAGCTGAGGGACAGCGCTCAGGCCCAGAGTTCAAGCCCCACGACTGACCCCCCCAAAAAAAGTTGTATGAGAGAAAACCTCTATAGCCCCAAAGCTTGGTAGGGGGAGGAGGATCTTCCCTGTAATGCTAACGTTCCTGTGTTAGTTAAGTCAATGGAGCTTACAAACTTAAATCACAGATTTCTTTTTCTTTGATGGTACTGGGGATTGAACTCAGACCCTCAAACTGGCTAGGCAAGCACTCTACCACTTGAGCCAAGTCAGTCCCTTTACTTTCAGTTTGCTTTTCAGACAGGGTCTTGAACTTTTGCCTTGAACCAGTTTCAGACCACAATCCTACTTGTACTATGGAGGAGCTGGAATTACAAGTGTGCACCACTGGTCCTTTAAAATAAAAAAAAAAAAATGGGGTGGGGTGGGGGGAGGATGGAAAGGGATGGGAAGGGGAAACAAAGGAGGAGGCTACAATGCTTGATAAGAAATGTACTCATTATCTTGCCCATGTAATTGTAACTCTTCTGTACAGTATCTTCACAATTAAAAAAAAAAGAAAAAAATAAAATTTAAAAAAAATTAAAAAACTTGATTTCATACAATCTGCTTAGGTTCTAAAAGATTTTTAGACAGAAACTAGCACAGCTGTTTCCAAACACTACTGTTTGAAGGTGGTAAGAAGCAGGACTCACCCCTCCCCCTCCACAACAAGCTTTCCTTCAGACAGTGGGGTTAATGAGATGAGGCAAAGCAGAAAGGCCTCCAGAGATGGAAATATAGAGTCAAAAGGACCCAGCATTCCACAGTGGAGTCTTGGAAACTTCAGACCAGATGAGGACAATTGCTTGGATCAGGCCACTGCCTGAGTTATAGGGCAAAAGGCCCAGCCCAGCTAGACAGTTATTTGAATCACACTGAAATATCAAAGGACAACACATTACTATCCAGTATGCATTAGGAAATTTAGGCTTAAATGCCTGGAACTTGTCAGGAAAAGAGAAAGGATCTAACAGTAAATTAAGCATTTTTTTTTTTTATTGGCTCTGGCTGATTTATTTATTTATTTTTTTTTTGCCAGTCATGGGGCCTGAACTCTGGGCCTGGACGCTGTCCCTCAGCTCTTCAGCTCAAGGCTAGCACTCTACCATTGGAGCCACAGCACCACTTCTGGCTTTTTCTGTTTATGTGGTGCTGAGGAATCAAACCCAGGGCCTCATGCTTGCAAGGCATGCACTCTACCGCTGAGCTACTTTCCCAGCCTGGCCCTGGCTGATTTATAAAACAAGGAAATGCTAACAGACCCAGAGAGGAATGAAACCCAGTAACTGCAGTTCTTTTCAATGGGTAAGACAGAGGAACAAACAGATGGTTCCAGTTGGAATGCTACTCATGCCTGTTTGTCAGAAAGTGTCAAGACCTTTTGGCTCCATATTTAAACATTGAAGACTCATACAATCCCAGTATTTACAGCCTTGGAGAAAGCTGTAGTTTCCAATTAAATTCACTTAAAAAAAAATCTAATCATTGAGCCAGGCACCGGGGGCTCACACCTTAATCCTAGCTACTCAAGAGGCTGAGATCTGAGGATCGCAGTTCAAAGCCAGCCCAAGCAGGAAAGTTCAAGAGATTCTTCAATAAACCAGAAGTAGCGCTGTGGCTCAATTGGTAAAGTGCTAGCTTTGTGCTGAAGAGCCGAGGGACAGCCCCCAGGCCCAGAGTTCAAGCCCCATGACTGACCAAAAACAAAAACAAAAAAAAAATCTAATCATTGCAAATGGATGGGCACTGTGGCTCATGCCTGTAATCTGTAATCTTAGCTACTTACGAGGCTGAGCTGAGGATTGTGGTAACAGCAGTCGGGTTGGTTAATCTCCAGTTAACCAACAAAAAGTTTAAGTGGATCTGTGGCTCAGGTGGTAGAGTGCTAGCCTTGAACACAAAAGCTAAGGAATGGTATCTAAGCCCTGAGTTCAAGCCTCAGGACCCATGTGTACACACAGACAACACACATACATATACACTAACTCAAACCTAACTAACCCTTGCTAACATTGGTACTGATGGCACCTAGTCACCACCTACTGGCCACAGAGGAAAGTACAAGTACTTACATTTCCTGTCAGGCTAGACCAACCATACCCAGTCAGCCTGATGGACACTTGGAGTAAATGTACCTTGCTGCCATTTGTTTTTCAGGAGGTCTTCTGCTGAAGCCTGTAAAGGGTCAATACTTCATGGTGCAGCACATCAGCCACTGGAACACATGCTCTACTAATGTCTTCCACCCACAAAGTTGATGCCTTTGGCATGCTAAGTAAACACTCATAACATTTTGGCATTAATTTTTTTATAGCTTGTAGGGTAAAAACAAAGCTGCTAGGTTTTTTTTTCTTTATAATTTTTAGATAAATGTTTTGTTCTAACTGTAGATCTTATGTATGGTTTGCCTTATTAATCTGACAACTTTTGCTTTGTTAGAGGGATAACTTCTTTTTGGCATACCAAATTGCTTTGGAGCCTTATTAAGTAATGGTTACTTGAACACAAGCACTGTCATACTGTAACAGTTAATCTGATAACCAAGACAGCGACTTAATGACTATTAGGAAACACCAGCGTGAAACTCTGGGAAAAAGGCTGATTTACATCCAGGGCAAGAAGGTGAAGAACGTAACAGGAAAGGACACCATGGGACAGTGAAAGATTTCGCCAAGTGGAAGATGGTAGATTAGAAGCATCCACCATTTGGACTCTATGAATAAGAAGAGTCAGGTAACATAGAAATAATTACCTTCTGTAGAGAGAAAGAAAAAGAGCATGGAGAACTATGAAAGGCAACAGGATGGCAGAAAAGCAAAAAGAAACCAAGGCAACAGAGAAAAGCAACAAGAAGTTTCAAGCTTGTCCCTGGGTTCCTGAAAGGTCGAGGGGAAGATGAAAACACCATCACCAGACAAGACAGCCCTCATAACAGATTGCCAACTTTAGCTATAAGATCACATATCCTAAAAGCTATAAGATCACATGAGAGGATGTGTGACATAGTGACTGCTGCAGTGTAGAAGGCTAGCCTGGGAAAAGGCATATTCTATTCCTTACCTTGTCTCAATGGGTGACAGAAAGCCATCATCTTGAGAGAAGCCTTATTGTTTTAAGACAGAGACACTTTGGAGCTGGAAAATAATGGATTTTCATAGCTCAAGGGTCTAAGATAAATGTCATAGAGCCTGAAAGGAAGATGGCCATAAGCAATGAATGTGGCCCCGAACATTTCAAGCTATGGGGAACTGCACTGGCAGTGTGCAGGAGATGGCAGTGGTAGTCAGGGTACTTGATGGTTAGAATTCTCACTCTCCAGGACCAGGAAGGTTCCACTGGCTGAGGCCTGACAAAAAACTGAGCCTGACTTATGGTTCCGTTTCTGGGGCCTGCCTCCTGACAATGCGTTGTCTGCTGGGTGGACCAGAGCCTTGCATTCAGATCCTCCAAGAAAGGAAGATCCCACTACTTGGGAAGGTGATTCGTCAGGTAGGGCTTGAAAGCATGAGACTTGCATTTGCTAACACTTAGGACTGAGGGCTCAAGTCCAGACCCTCTGAACCACAAACCTAAGCTCTGAGACCAGCCAACAGGGCAACTAGATCCCTCAGTCCTGCCCAAGCCAGTACTGAACTCAGTACTCTGTTTGTTCCGCCCACTCTCTGACATAACTGAGGGTCACTTCAAGACTTAAATGCTTGTTGCCTTGGTGAAAAAACTGTGGGCCCATGAAGTAAATGGGAGCTTGTCCAGCCCACAGGCCCAGAGCCAACCCCAATACACAAAGAAGGGAAGGCTCATATAATGAAAACAATCCAGAAACAGACAACTAGCCCTGCACAAAAGACTCTTAGATGAAGTTAACCTTCATCTAAGCAGTGCTGAGGATCAGGCCTGATGTCCCTAGTACTAGGCAAATGCTTGGCTACTG